GGAAAATCCAGAAGACGTAGAACATCGATTATACGATGGTTAATCGCTAATTACAGCGATTGCCTTTACGAAAATAACCCGGGGCCTTAGCGTGGCCAGCCACAGTTTAATAACAGGAATCGATCAAGAAATTTCAGACGGTGGCTGAACAAGGTTATTAACTATCGAGAGGTTATTCGATCGATCCGGCATGCTACATTCCACGTGCGTTTAACTACTATACCTTTATCCTCCGCATCGAATCTTGTATCTCGTAAGTAATGGGAGATATTACCCCGCAAAGCATCGGATTTCTGTCTTTCCAGGCACTTTTAACGATAATATTTTTGCGTGCTTTCTTGTTATCCAACAGCGAGGGTTTTGCAGAATAATTTGATTAAATTTAATTCAATTCATTCAAATACACTGGCAAATCCCACTTGTACAAAGAGAAAAGAGAGAAAAAAGTATAAGAAGAAAAGAACGGTGATGTTCATCCATCTGCATTAGAAGTAAATAATTTCTTAATTATGATTAAAATTTTGCAGTTGATGTATATCAATACAAGTTTTGTAGGTACATATCTGTATCGAAATCGATCCAGTCTAAATTTTCCGTTCAGCAATCAAGATTTACAGCGCATTTGTTACATTAAATTGTTAGCTTTAAACATCTTCTATGGGATATTTTTACAATATTTTAGTAATTATTCGTTAGTAATTTATTCTTTTATTTTCATAATCCGATATTTATTAATATTTATAAAGTAGTTATTTCATATTAGAAGAACATGAAATTAGGAAAAAAAAATTAAATTAAGAAATTAGAAATTTCTTATTCTTTCACTCACCTAACATTATTTGATTACTAGCGAAAGGTACGCGTGAAAAGAAATTCTTATTTCAATCAATGAAACAAATTATTGTTATTATTATTTATTCATTTTGACGTTGCTTTTATAATTCATAATAATACATTTAACAGCTTACAACATTTGATACTAAACTGGTGGATCATAGAGGAAGTACAGGAAAGTTTTTTTAGTAACTCTTAGACTCATTGTAAATAGAAGAATCTCTCGAAATTTTGCATATATTGGTTTTAAATATTAGATGATATTGTGTTGTATTTCCATCCGTCATTATATTATCGCGTTTCTATGTATTGTTAAATTAATAAAAACATACAAGAACATGGAGTCTCTAATATGGGATAGTGGGTCCTTGATATGAGGCAATGTTTTAAAATGGTAAAAATTTTAATTATAATTACATTTTTTTATTGAAATAGCTTTTTATTCTTTTTTGTGTAAAAATTGGTGCAATACAATAATATTATTTTAAGCTATTACTTTAAGTTAGAAATTAAAAATAAATATTCCTTATAAGTTTCCATTTTCTTATTGGTATCTATAGCCATTTTATGTTATTATGTCCATATGATTCCATTGTTTCATCTTCGAAGACATCTGAATTTATGTAATTGAATATTCTATAGTAGTGTTTACAAGTCAGTAAATTTATTTGAAAAGTACGTTTAATAAAGTCACATTTCTAATAGGGACTATTAGGGACATTATCTCTTTATAACAGATACAAAACATTCCATGCAAAAATTTTATTATTCTTGTAATTAAACTTTAGAAGAATTACAATAACAGAAGCTTATGAAATTGTGATTTAAAGATATAATTTGTTAAATATACAATTATTTATCTTTCAAAAGATATGACAAAATGCAATAGAGAGTAAAAACTTTTCTAACAGCTGTTTTAATTGATTGACTCTCAATACTTTAATCACCACCGGCACGTACCCGATTCTTCATGTATGAAAACAAATAATATAATTATAACATTGTATTAATCATAATATTCATGGATGGAGTGTGCTTCTGTTACCTTATAAAATTTTAGACCTCATATTGAGAACCCTTCCTATATTAGGCGCCTTTTCTCTACAATCCTTCCTGTAATCATACATTTCTATACAATTGATTAACTAGAACAACTAAACTTGGTATTAACGTGATAAATCCTAGATTTTCTTCCTTTACAATTGCTTAAAAGATACTGTACTATTTTTGTTAAAATTGATATTGATTTCCATTTAGACAGAAATACAATTTTTTAATTATTATCATTTGAGTTATAATGGTTTCTAGTGTTAAATATTAATATACCATTGTTTAATCTTATATTTTTATATGTGTTATTTCAAATATGCATTACTAATAGTATACTAATGGTACATTCATTAAAACGTTGTAACAATTCAGTCATACGATTTTAATTATCATTTGAGTTATAATGGTTCCTAGTGTTAAATATTAGTATACCATTGTTTAGTCTTATATTTTTATATGTGTTATTTCAAATATGCATTACTAATGATATACTAATAATACATTCATTAAAACGTTGTAACATTAGAAAAAAATGTCAAAACTTGTTTGTCCACTCATAAATCATGCTGAATCTTGTCTCGGCTCGTAACTATCATTTCGTAGCTTGTGAGAGGCTGACAATCTGAACCACAAAGCGATGCTTTAGAACCATAAAAATCTATTTCAACGCACGGAAAATACAGCGCGGTTATGAAAAGGTAGTTCAGTGGGAAGAAGCGCGTAACGGATGGAATCTCGCGCGAAAACGGAAAATAAGGCACGCTTGGTTTGACTCAATACGCGGATTATTGGGTCGAGTGATTGCGCACGAATAGAGCAGGAAGGGTCGTTAAAATTGTAAGTTCCTCACTGACTCTCCCCCTTTGTTTGTTCTCTCTCTCTCTCTCTCTCTCTCTCTCTCTCTCTCTCTCTCTCTCTCTCTCTCCTGTCCGACTGCTACCTTTCAATTATTCCGTTATTTTCAAGAAATCACGAAGAAGAATGGAAGCGGAACGGCGTGCTCGAGTAGAGGAAGTTACAGCACGATTCTTCCGGAGATACTTTTTTTTGCTCGGTTCTCGAGAATTCAATGGACGGGGACCGCGTTCGATACGACAACGATGCGCCGCGCGGAACCTTTCCGGCGAGTCGGGGGGGAGAAAGAAGGAAACGAACGATCGGCAGACAAAGCGGAAGTAAGCAGGCCACGAGACAACTGTCAACGCAAACGAGACAAGACATTCTTCATTCCGTCCTCGAGTCTTTTTTTCTCTGTTCCCAATGAACGCAGTTGAAATGCTTATTAACGCAAGAAAAATTCTGTCGCGATTCGTTGACTCCTCGGCAGACGCGTTGACACTATTGCAGATGATCAGCTTCCAAATGATATACTCCTTGTCTATTCTTATTGTTAGCATTACGAAAAGTTGAATCGAAGTCACACAGTAGGACTTTCATTAATGTTTGAATACTGACGATGTTTGACAAATTATTGCATTTATTATTTATAATATTGATTGTTATTTCAATATTTACTGTTAGATAGTAGGTAGCAAATTTTATTTACTTCATATAGATGTATATTTTATTGCATAAGAAACAATAAATTAAATAATAGTGACGTTTAATTTCAGAAAACATTTAATATCAGAAAAAAATTCGAATAACGAGTTATACTCGTTACAAGTTATACACTAAACTGCGAATTTTTATGTATTTTTAAATTTTCTTGAACATTATTGATGAAATAGAATCTAAATAGAAAATTATTTCTTCTGCATATTATTATAATTAATAATGCTCTTTGGAGTTGTACATTTTTGCATATTGCGTGCATTTTTACACTTTCAACTTTATCATAAATATATAATCCGCAATCTATATATCACATTTAAATTAATTTTATATATTTTATTATGTATTTTATAATTTTATGAAAGCAAATTATATTAATTTACTTACCCTTTGAATATATTTATAATTTTGAAATTTCGTTTATTATATTAAAAAATATATATTACATAAATTAAGTATGTGTTCCTCATGTAATAAAGCTTAAACTAGCTAAAATACGTGTTATAGTACATTAAATCGCGTATTATTACATATCTATCAATACTATGTCAATAATTGTCCAAATATTTTATTACATTCAGAAATTAATAGATGTTACTTGTATGCATTATAAATAAAAATAAATTATATTATATTTTTACACATTACGAATCAATTTTAATAGATATTATGTTTAAAATTAGAAAATATCGAATGACGTATAGATCATATATTTTTATATATTCATATATTTATTGTTTCCATATTATTTAATCTATATGTATACTTATTATTATATCTTATTTTATTATTTATATTTACGCTATATCTTATTTTTATTATTTTATTATAATATCTTCGCAATTTATTTACTTAAAACCACAACCATATTAGCTTTGTAGTGAAGTAACTTATACTTTTATGAATACAATTATAGAAACAGAATTTAAATAGTCTTCAAAATATACTTCAAATATTTTGTATATTTTCGTGTATTACATTATATATTATACACCACAACTGCATAAATGTTTGCAATTTAATTATTATAGTTCCTACCAGTTCTGTCAGAAGTGATAATTAACAATACCATGAACAAAGAAAAATTCAATTATAGAGAATTAAAAGCACCAACATCAATGAACTATCAATTTTTCAATAATCTAATAATTATTTGTTCCTGTGCCATTCTTTTCTCCTTACATGTTTTAAATTTCTGTAAGTAGAAAAATTCACAATTTGCTTTATAAAATATGTCTAATATATCGATTTCATTTAAAGGGTATTATACCTAGGGGTTATACCTCCTACCCTAACCTAGATAACATGTAAAGTATACGACGCAAATAGAAATAATGTTTGAAAAAAATCCATGTTCTCTTTTTATTTCTTATTTGTTTTAATTTTATTCCAAATCATCATTTTTAGTTTGTAAATTTCTGTAACGTATAACTTATGTTTTGAAGTAATGAACTAAAATATTCAAACTCCATGGTAATATAGGAAATTTTTTTCCGTGTATTTATATATTCCACTGATTAGTATAATATAATTAATTGAACAACATACAACATTAAAATGATATGGCAGGTATGATCTATATTGTAATTCTGATTCTGTTAGTGTGAAGTGTTATTATTACATAATCAATTCCTCAAAAAATAATTATTTAATATGAGGCAGATTCGAAAGCATAAATGTATATACATAAGAATTGGTATTTCTTTCTTTTTTTTTTTTATTTTTTTGAACATTTATCTTTAAATTTCAGTTTATAATACAATATACAAAATATAGCACAACATATAAATATGTATATAAATATATTTCGCTTTTAAGACGTAAGTTGTAATAAATGTATTTATAATTTATATTTATATTGGATCTGTATTTGTAATTTGCTTATTCTTTGGCTGAACTATTGATCGTTAAGTGTAGACTTTTAAACAAAGTTTAAAAGCTGTCGTGGTCGATTGTTTTGCAATGACGTTCCACGTATATCCCCTAGTGTTATCACAGTAATATAAAATCTACATTACAAGCAACAAAGCAACGTAGATACTTGGGTATTGGAATTTTAACATATTAAAATAATTGTAAATAAATTATCTTATATCCTGAATTATATGACTATCAAAGTACAGTCGTATAAGTGATTTTTATTTTAGCAAGTGTTAACATATGGCACATTTCACGTGGCATAAGTGTTAGTCAAAAAAATTCTTTGTTCTTATATACCTCATCCATTTATCATATTTATCAATAAATCGTAAATGAGACTTTGAAAATTATGTATATATAATTTTGTTGTTGCTTTCTGCATCAAATACACAGTAATAGTGATGAAAAATCGTTAATCATTTAAACTTAGTAAAAAAAAATCATAGAATAATTCGAAAACTGTGAAAATTCAAATGTTTCTCTAGAAATAATAAAAAATTTCTTTTCATGGCTAGATTCATCATTTTCTTAAAGACTGAAATCTCTCTTTCACAATGATCTCTTCAAAACTACATTTTTTTTTTTATTATTTTATTAAACTTTGGACATTAGGTTTGTTAGGATTTCTTGAATTTTAATATTATCTAAAGTTCAATGAAATGCTGAAAAAAACCGTATAACAAGTTCCAAGAGCTCGCTGTAAACAGAAAAGTTCATTCTTACGATAGTGGATTTAACAAAGAAAAAAATTTTTAATATTTTTAGAAGTATTTGAATTTTTACAGTTTTCGAGAAAAAGTACTCAGTTTTCCATTCATTACATGATATAAAATCATCTTTGAAAAAAACGAACTCAAACTACATTATCAAAGTAAAGGTTTTATGTTTTAAAATGAGATACTCGTTTTCTTTTACAATTTTAAATTATCGACAATTTCTCATTGTTATTGGTTCAATGGTTTGGTATTTAAAATATTCAATATATTTTCAAGTATTTTGTTATATCAGAAAATAAAATATTTAAAAACATTTACTCCATTAGAACAGATTAACAATATCTTAAATTCTTTAAAATTTACATTTTTCTCGTTCAATTGATTTATCTTCCACCGACTCTGTCGTGAAGTTCGTTTATCAAAATGTTCATATCACGAGAAAATGATTAAGATTTATGATTATCGCAAGAAGAGATTGCAAGCTGTTTCGATTCACTTGCAATGTAATGTAAGATTAAATTGTTTCAAAAAGCAAAATTTTTTCAAAGGAAAAAGAAGTAATCGGACGTGTATCTGTTTTAGAATGCAACTGCAATCTCCATGCAAGAAAGTGCAGATTCAACATGGAACTGTACAAGCTGTCCGGACGTGTCAGTGGAGGCGTTTGTCTGCAGTGCCGGCATTTTACGGCAGGAAGACACTGTCACTATTGTCGAGAAGGTTACTACAGGGATCCGGCGAGACCGATCCAACATCGTAAGGCCTGCAAACGTAAGTACTGTCCGACAGTCATTAATCACTGCTAATTTAGAATAGCCTATTCCCACTGATCTATTAATCGGAGATTATCTCTTGCAATTGTTTGCATGTTTCTGGCACGTTCGTTCACCTCTTACGGATTTCAGACACTTTTGATCATATGCCAATCAATCAATCAAAATGTCTATGTCACGATATACACATTGATAAAACATAATAAGTTACATACTCGTTTTAAAAATGTGGCACGTTTAAAAAAGTTCTTCTGGTTCTATTTTAAACAGAAACTTGTGATATATACATATATTATTAAAGAAACGGATGTCGATACTTTTGTTTACAATGCAATTGATTTTTTTGATCAAGAATGCTTGATAATGGTTTTTTTTTCGAGAAAGATAATTTAATTAAATATAATATCGAAAAATTCGCATTATTGGAGATAATAAAATTCTAAATGTTTAATTGCATTTGCAAGATATGAATGAAATTTTAAAAATGACGTCAATGATGTAATTTTTAGATCTTAATGAAAAACATATCTTTTATCGAATTGTATATTTATATTGACAAATCTCACTTTATTTTATAAGATATCTCACATTATTTGCATCGTCTTTGCTAAAAACAAATTCATATCATTTTCGTATTGTAATTTTATTGTAAATTTATTGTTATTAAGTCAGTCGTTTTTAATATTTTACAAAAACGAGCTATCATAACTCTCATTCACTTCAACTTACAGTTGCTTATTTTATTCATATATTTTTATATTTACGACATATTGTATATGTGTATTTCCCAATGTTCGTTTGTATAATAGAATAATTTTCAAAATTATAGTAAAAAGACCGCATTGCAATTTTCTCCAATAGTAACTGCAAACACATTTAACATATATAACGCGTTTACCATAAATAGTTTACATGCCTTGTAGCTATAATGTAACACAAATCTAGAAAAGGAATTATAATATTTAGGCATGAAAGATGTATAATATTAAATATTTTTCATTTATTTAATTCATTTTTCATTCATTTATTATAAATTATATTTTATAAATTAATTAATGTGAATTATATACATTGAATATTATATTTATAGTATTTAAATAATAGGAAGGAAAGATTAAGCACTATTTGTACACAGAATATTTGAAATAATTACTTAAATAATATGTTAGCTTATTTAATTCGAAGAAATTTTGAAATAATTATGCTTTATTTCAGTTAAGGGAAAATAATTTTTTTCCCAACACTTTTTTATTATTTACTTATTAAATAATATAATTTTTATTTTATTTTTATTATTTATTTAAATAAATGTTTTCAAAAATTAGTTATATTAATTACTTTAATTTGTCAACTGCGTTATAAACAAATTTTCATATAATTCTTCCTGCATGCACAGAGAGATATATATACATACATTTAGAAATAATTGAAATAAAAACAATTCGAGTGCAAATACTTTTATATTATTAGGTAATCAAATTCCATAATGTTTAAGTTTACGAAAATTCAAATTATTTTAGATTTTATTCGAAAGCAACGAAAATAAAATTTATTTAAACATAAAATAATACGTAATAAAAAAATTTATAAAATAATATATAATAAAAAATACATAAAATGAAATAAAATAATACATAAAATAAAAATAAAATACATAATAAAAAATAAAAATAAAACATTATTTGTTGTCTGTTTTAAGTAAAATAATTTATCTACACACACACACACACACACACACACACACCTCAAAATTTGCTATAGAGAGATATACAATAATTTAACAATAATCACATTATTAATTTTCTATTTACGCATGATTGTACACCGAAAGTTTTTTATATTAATTTCAAGAATCTTATTTTAAACGGACCATACTTTTACATTTCGTTAATTCAAATATAAATAGAAGAATAAATAATATCGAAAAAAAGATGCTGTCTACGAAGGAATTTTATGATCCGAGTTTCATCTTATAGTACAGTCAATTGCAATTATAAAAAGATTCTATATTCAGATAATCAAGAATGTTGAAACCTTATTTGCTTCGTCACGGCACGTTTCGGACCTTAGTATTCTAGATAAACTAGCTAAACTGTCAATCGGTATTTGAGTTTACCCTCACATTCGTATCATAAGCGGGATCCAGTTATTACCCCATTATTACTATTAATTTCATCTGTTTCCCGGGACTGTTACGATGCGGCTACCAACCGAGAGGCTGTCCCTCCACTCCAATCTCGAGACATTCAATTTATGTCGGTTTGTCTAGGGCCAGAATCCACTGCGGGGATAACGATCTCCGGACGCGAGAAAGCACATCGGAACGTATTCATGCTCGCACGGTGGTACATGGTGCACCACCATGCATCCAATATGTTCACGTACTACATTCCATTCGTGTGATTGGAACACACTGGATTTGTTGTCTAGTTCTCCGCGACTATGAACCTCCCCCACACCTACTAAATTAACAGCCGACTAACAGCCAACTGTACGATTATTTCAACTCGTAGATCCTAATGCAGGATCTTTTCGTGGATTCTAATACTGGATCAGTGTTTTAGAAAATGGCACTTTGCGTTATTTTTATTTATTTATTTATTTTTTTATATTACTTTTTAGGAACAGAAACTAGTGGAAAGAGATCTGATTTGCAAAACATGAGAAAATATGAAAGGATAAAAAAAATTCCAAATATAATGAAATATATTACTCTACGTTATACTTACATATATTGCTCTACATTATACGCACGTCGTAGAGAATTTTTAAATTTTCGGAACTTGAATTCGAAGTTTTAGAAAATTTTAAAACTCTTGAAACTTAGCTGATTTTATTTTGTAAGAAGAAAAATAGAGTTAAATTTTTATTGGTCATAATTAAATAAAATACAATCAAAAACATAATAAGCTAGAAAAATCCAAATTTTTGTTTAAGAATATTAACATCTGAACTCTTTCTACTACTATTTAAATTGCTAAATTAATCTAAACTATTTTTTTTTCCAATATGCATTGGAAAATCTTATATAACGAAGTATATCGTTGATGATGATAATAAAATATTTTTTGCTACATTTTAATTCAATTAAATTTGGATACTTCACATTATCATTCCAAATTAATTGTATAGCTGCCTATGTTTTTAAAAACAAAAACTGCGTGCGCATTTTACACCAAACATTCGAGATTCACATGAATCAAACAGTTTTTATTCACGCTGCAAATGATTTTTTATTCATTGATTTTATAATTTTTTTCTTATTTGAAATTCGAGAGATTCGAGTCACGAAAAAATTTTTGACATTAGAACTTTTCTTGGATTTCTTTTAACATTTCGAGTAAGTCATCGTTATTATTTTTATCGTTATTATTTCGCAGAGAGTTATTAATGAATGTTCATAAATTTCATTACGATATTTCATTAGATTATGAAGGATTTATTGGTATTAAAAAATTTATTGGAAGTGATTGCGCGAATTATTATAATAATTGTTACAACTTTCGAAATTAAGATAAATTCTATCTAATTTACAAACAGCACGAGAGCTGTTTTTCTCTATATCTTCTGTATCGTTTTTACTAGAGATACACATCCACTCAAGGGATCATTCATTTAATGAAAGGAAAACAAACTTAATGAAACAAACATGGATGTTTAAGCAGCTACATGCTTTGAATTAATATGTATGTATAATTACAATAAAGAAATTATAATTGTATTACTTACAAACAAGTTATAATTATTTAAAATGTTTTAATCATTTGGTTTTATACAATCAGAAATTGTAGACAGCGCAAAAAATTTATTATACAGTGCAAAGACAATATAATAACTTCAGGTTGGAAAATAATTCTATAATTCTCGAAATTATCGGAAATAATTATAAATACTTATAGAAATAAAATGTAAACAAAACAATACGATAAACTTCTAACAACAGACAACTGAAAAATTACTAGTTTAATTTTTTTTCATTGTCCATACTGCAATAAATATTTTATAATAATTTTATATTTCTGAAAAAAATATATTACGGATCCTCACACACACACATCCATCTTTCATTTTTGTATGTATGCATTGTGATTCAAAATTAAAATAATCTTTCTAATTTCCATGTACTTCTTCGTTATCTGATTTTTATTTTATTAATGTTATTTGTCTTTTTCTAGAAGAGCAAAAAAAGCAAAAGAACACAATCGTATTTAATATATTTCAATCCTTTTAACATTATAATTCAATAATCTTATAACATCATGCCTGCCATAAAGTGAAGAGTGTTCTCTGTGACCTCAGGTCAAAGATTTCTATGGAATCAATTAATTTTCATTCAATAATAAGTCAACATATACATCATTTTTTATAACATCGATTCAACTAAATCGTTAATTAAGCTTTCAAGTGTCAGAGTATTTTTAAAAAATTCAGAAGCTCAAGTAACTTAATTCAACATGAATGGTTTTTTGTTATGAGCCTTCCCATTTGTCTTCAATACACAATATAATATAAATCCATTTAAAAGAAGTTACGTTATCTATTGTAATTCCTAAACACAGTACTAGTATAGGATCGCAGAATCCGTAGAACGTAAGTTTCCTGAAATCAGAGCCTTCGTGTAGCGCTTGTAACATCAATACCGTGAAATCTTTTTAACGACAATAAACCAGTATTATGGTTACGAGCGGTCGATTCGAGCATATAGCGTTCTCGCGTTGTCATGTTCGACACCGCAATCCATTAACATTATAAAATTTAACGAACCTTAAACCAGTTACCGGCACGTTAATTACCTCTTGAAAGGGGTTGGCTCTCGTTGTTTCACGGTGAATTTAATTCGCGCCGAAAGCCCGAGGTTACGTTTCACAGGAGAGAAACGAAATGACGGCCGTGTGGCGCGTCCCACGCAATCCGCGTCGATGGTGGCTTCTTCGCTCTGGGGACTAATTTATGAAAGTTCCTACCATCCTAAGACGAGTTTAAATCTTTTCGTGCTGA